AAAAAAAAGGAGGAGGATTGGCAATAGATGTTAGCTCAGAGCCGGTCTTCCTCAGCAAAAAGAGGAGGATTAGCATGGATGTTAGTTCAGGGCTGATCTTCTTCACAAAAAAATAAATAAATGAATGAATGAATAAATAAATAAATAAATAAAAAGAGACGTATTGAGGCCTCAGACAGAAGGGGGAACTTTGCTGAGGAAGTAGGCCCTCAACTAGATGCTGATGGCAGAATATGTGTGCAGTGAGATAAGAACCTAGGGAGAGGCTTTCCAGGTGGAAGGAGGTGTAGATGCACAAAGGTGGGAAGTGGTACAATTCGCACCTTCTGGACTTGTGTTATGCAACGTGGAGTACTGGAGAGAGCACTGCTCCACTTACTAATGGTGCAGCCTCAGGCCAGGCACCTAGTCTCCCTAAGCCTCAGTTTCCCTCTCTGTATGATGGCTGTGATAACAGCCACTTCCAGGGTTGTTGAAGACCTGAGACAAGCATGTAGCACCTGGTTCCTCAAAATCACCAATCCAAGTTAGACTTCAATCTAAACCAGCTTCCCTCTCTCACAGTATCCTATTTCCCTTCCTACTTAACAATCGAATCAATTATATATCTTCGTGCTTATCTATTGAACGTCTGTTCTGTGACTGTAAGTTCTATGAGGACAGGGACAATATCTATTCTTCTCAACCCTATCTCTTTAGTGCCTAGAACAGTAGGCACTCAATAAATCTCTGTTATATGAATGAATACATAAACGTATGAATGGATAAATAAATTCATGAATAAATGAAGAACCATACCTATTTCTGTGCCATGACTCTAAGAATCTCAGGGAAAATATGTCTTTCTGTGGTGAGGGGGCGGCTTGCTAAAGAAGGAAAAGCCTTCGGAGAATGCAGTTAGAGAATCAGAGGGCCTCCACGGGTCACCAGAGAGAGCACCGGCTCTCCTGCCTGCCTCCCGGTGCTGCACGTAACCGTCTCTGAGCAGGAAGGAAATTACACAAACTTCCAGTTCAGCTGGTTCCAGGGTTTCACAACCCAGCTCTTTCTGTCTTGCTAAAATCTGACGTGTTGTTTCACCAGTGTGACTTGTGATGTGCCTAGTGGACAGTGACTCTGCAGGATCCCCATGCTGCCCGGCAATGACCCTGAGTGAATGTCTAGACTTTCCAATAATCCAGTCCTCTAATATAATGCAACACAATAACCCTTCATGTAGAGTTGGGGAGGAGGAGAAGGGATAAACACAGGCACCAATAATTATGAGGCATTGGATACTATGAGTTCCACAATGGAGGTAAGTACAGGGAACTTAAGGATACAGAGGAGGATATATGGCCCTGCCTGAGGTGAAGCAGTGTACACTGTCAGATAACATTTATAGCTTTCAAAATACGGTCACATATATCATCTCATCTTAGTCTCCCTGCAGCCATGAAAAATGGGAAAGTATGGACAACATTTGCATTGTTATTTGTTCCTAATACACAGGGAAACTGAGGCAACTGGGGGTGGTCCAGGACTGAGACCTTGTTTTAGCGGCAGATATGAACTCATCGCCCAGATCTCACGACTATCAGCTTGTGCACTGGCATTTGTATTGGTCAACAGCGTAAGCATGCCTGCAATGTCACAATCCCTCCACCTTCTTTAATGTCCTTCCAGTGTACTTTTGTGATGGAACATCAGCGTGGACTAAATCAGGGACTGGCAAGTTAAGGCTCACGGGCCATAATGACCCATTGCATGCTCTTGTAAATAAAGTTTTATTGCAATATAGTCACACCTACTCATTTACTATTATCTATGGCTGCTTTTGCACTACAAAGGCAGAGGTGAGTAGCTGCAACAGAAACTGTATGACCCACAAAGTCTGAAATATTTACTATTTGGTCCTTTACAGGAAAAGTTTGCTACTCCTTAGAATAAATGAATGGAATGGAAGCAAATGAAAAACAAATAGATTTATTCATTCATAATAGGCAGTGGGTCATAACTGAAAAGGAGAATGAGAATTGGCCTCAGAATTGCACCTCTGTCACTTGGCTGGATGACCTTTGTTGGGGGAGAAGAAATTCTTCCTCCCCTTTTTTAAGTTCTTCTGGCTGGTCTAAGAATTAAATTGACATGAGAAAGATTAACAGGAGAAAATCAAATTTAACTTTGTATGTACAGAAATCCCAAAGATATGAGGCTCTCCAATAGTCAGGCAGATAAGGTTTATACGCCATCCTGAGCTAAGAAGAAGGGGGTAGGGTCTGGGACTTCAAAGGGAGGAAAACAATTCATAGGAAGATGGGAAAAGCAACTGTTTGGTAAACAAATGTTTGCATGCCATGCAGAGACAAAGGGACACAGAGAGGACTTTGAACAAGCAGGCCTTGGAAAGTTCCCCCTAGTCTTCCGTGCCTAGCTCATATTCTTTGTACTTATCTCTGGCGACAGCTTTTCTTCCTGGAAGGAGACCTTTATCTAAATTCTTTTAGGCAGTTAAGGGGGAGGGCAAAAACTCTTCCTGAGTCTTTTGTTTCTTAAAAATAATCAGCCTAAAATAATCTTCACACCAAAGAGACACATTTTGGGGTCACAAATTTTGTTCCCCTACACCTTGAACAAGTTATTTATACTCTCTGGGCCTGTTTTTACATCTATCACCTTATGGAGTTGCTGCAGGATTTCCCTGAGGTAAGGTACAGGAATTAGTTATGATTAGGTTTGGCCCCATGTGACAGAAAACACAAAATAAAAGTTTCTTGCACAAGACAGCAGTTTATTTCTTGCACGTGGAGGTGGGCAGTGGGTGTTGGTCTGGTGCTGCACGGTGTTTGGAGCCTAAGCCCTTTGCTGTGTGTGGTTTTCGTTCCTGAGGTCACCTCATGGTCCAAGATGGCTGCTGGAGCTCCAGCTACTACACCATTGTTACTAATGATAGTGTGATAATAAGAGGAAACAAACCAAAAATCAAATAGGAAGCCTAGAAACAGAGACATCCATAAAGACCAGGCAGCAAATCCACATTAATTCAAGCCTAACCAAGATGAGACCTCCTGCCAAGTTCATGAGGCAACCAGCATGTTTCATTTATTCTATTCCTGGGGTGCACTGAGGAGGATCGGGAAGCCGGTCTTACACATATTCAGCATCTAACACTTTACAAAGTGTTTCCACGTCTATTCTCTCATCGGTTCTGCATAATACTCTGGAAAGGTAAGATGAACAGGTCTCAATATTATTATTCTTATTGTACACTATGGTTCATACAGGTGTTAAGTTACCAGACCTCAGTATCTCCTATCTTCCCAAAGAGTCCGTGGTTAGATCTTTGGATATTTGTTGGAAATGAAAAGTGAACAAACACGGTGTAGAAGAAAGAAAATGACCCCTAGCAGATGCAGTGAATCACGTGGCCTCAGCTTCCTAAGCCAGTATCCTCACCTGGAAGACAAAGGTAGGAGCATCTATTGATTTTTGGGGTTGTTAGGAGGGTAGCAAACAATGACCATGATGCACACGGCACATAGGCCAGTTAAATGAAATCACTGTTACCATCTAGGCTTACCTCTCATATGTGGTGTGTCCTTGCAAAGTCACTTCCCTTTACTGGGCCTCAGTTTCCTTTCCTAGGAAAACAGGGTTTGGACTCAGCAACTTGCTAAGCTATCTTCCGAATCTCCAGTCCCATCAGCCTGGGAATCTGCCTTTTCAGTGGAACAGCTCAGGTTGGAATTCTCCCTCAGGTTACTACTAGCTAGGTGTCTCAGAACAAGCTAAACAGGTTTCTAACTGTCTGCATCTGTAAAATAGGGACGAATAGTACCTAGTTTATTGAAAGGCAAGGATTGAGAGGATTAAATGAGGTAGGTGTGTCCAGGACTCACAGATTGTAACTTCTTCAAACACAGGGACCCATGTGTTTTGTAGATTTCAAGACTGACACTCTTCAGAGGGCGGGCCACAGGACTAGATGAGTAAATTCAGGTAAGTGTCAGGAACCAGACCTGGCACAAAGGAAGCGTTCAATAACTATTATTATGATTATTATTTTACACTCGCCTACAACAGTCCTGGTGTTCAGTAAATGGTCGGGGAGTGGAGTTACAGGATACACACAGACACATCACCCATCAGGGGCTGCGGAGAGTTTGCGTGGGTGAGCTCCGAGAGATGAGCCCCCAGAGCGGAAAACTCGCAGCCGGAGGGACAGAGCCCCCGAGATACGTTTAAACGTGCAGACCGGCGGGCGGAGCCGCAGCGAAGCTTCTGTCCACGCACCAGCCCGCGGAGCAGGCGGCGGGCGGGCAGGCGCGGGCCAATCCCGGGCCTGGTTCAAAGGGCCAATCGCGGCGCGTTTTACGGGGCCGCGGCCGCGGCCGCCGGGGGGCGGAGCCAGCGCGGGGCCACCTGCCGAGCCCCGCTGGCTGGCACGTAGTTTCTGGTAGGACAGGTCAGTGGCCCTGCGCTCTGCCCGACGTGTGCAGCAGGGGCGTCTGCAGGCGCGCAGGCTCGTAGCGCGCACGTTCTCCGCCCCGAGAGCGCGCGCGCCCCTAGCTCCCTCCTCTCCCCCGCGGCCGCCGCCTCCGCTTCCTGCTCCGCCTCCTCCGGCCGCTTAGGTCTCGCGCCGGCCGGGCCTTGGCTCTCGAGACTTTCTGTCCTCTCCTGGGTGAGGCGTCCGACCGCTCAAGGGAAGGGTCGGCCTATACTGCATCCCCAAGGCTGCCTATGAGGTGTCTGGAACCCGGGGTCCACTGCCATCACTGTCCAGTTAGCTATGTTCACTTCCTCTCTCTCTTCCTTTCACTCCCTCACTGCTCCCCCCATTTTAGGATATTTTCCCAGGCATTTTTGAGCCTTTTAATTCAAATCTGGCTACCTAATGCATTTTAAGGCCAGTGCTGCTTGTAGCTTTAAACGCTTTCAGCAGCTTGTGATAATATTTGAGATGCAGTTTAGGTTAGATTAGATGGTAAAGTGCTGTTTGGTTACAGTTATTCTGGGTGGGAAAGGCCTAGGAGTATCTTTTCATTTTTATTCATTGCCCTTCTTTTTAAGGATGGACTAGATGCAAAATGGTGAATTTCCTTAGTCATTGGCTATTTTCCACTAAAAGACTTCTCTCGGGTCTTAACTAATTTCGTCCCTAAATTAAAGGGTTAGTAATTACCAAGGTATGGAATTGCGGTCATCATTAGGTTAATTTTTCAATGAGGAGATCTGGAGGGAGGAAGTGACTTTGCTATTGAATTGCAAATCAGTAAGAAAGAAGGCAAGTCTTCTCTTAGTTTGTGGCTATTATTTAGATGGCAGAGGTTTGTTTTGCCTCTTTTCCCCTCTTTCCTATGATCCACCAAGTGCCTATAGTGATTTTTTACGTTTGAAGTTCCAGCTGGGTCTTCTGGGAGTCTCCTGTTAATGAGGCCCTCTGCTTGGCTCTTGACCTGATGGCTGCTGGCCTGGCTCTGAGTGGGATCAGCTGAAGAGGACCTCTTAGTGGGAGGCCCAGAGGACTCCCATTAAGGATGATGGGGGAACAGACCAGGGAGGGTGAGAAGGGCCTGGAGATCGATTTTGAGGGAAGAGGGAGGTGGGGAGCCTCCCTGGCTGGATTTGGAAGTCAAAACATGTGTATTGGGAGGAGGGAATAACCCAGAGGGTGGAGATCTGTGACTTTCTGGATGAAATGAGAAGTTTTGTGGGAGGAGACTGGGCCTTTTTCCAGGCTGTGTTAATTTTTTCTGTGGGCCTTGTCTTTCCCTGGAATCGGGTTCCCTTTTCCCAACGTTTCACTTCAAATTACAGTTACCACTGGTTTTGAAAACAATTTGAGGTAATGAATCTTGCCCTTAAACTTCCAGCCAGAATGGAACACTCCCCCTCCCCAGGGGATTTCACGTCACATAATAATTTTATCAGAATATACTCGACTCCAGAGATCATTTACCCTCTCACCTGCCTATGTTTGTATAAGGTGGCATGTAGAGTCAGCCCAGGTGGTGTAAGAGGAGGTCCTCTAAACCAGCCTGTACACTCCTTCACTTGTTCACTGGTCTTGTGGCTATATTGGCCCAGTCGTCGGTTCTGGGAAGTGGAGATGAGCAGGTCTTGGTCTCTACTTTCGAGCTTTCATCCAGTATGCCTATGTCTAGTCAGATGAGGGAGATTATATGGTAGGGGGATCAGTGTGGTGGCAAGGCATGCAGAAGAGTCTCAGGAGTTGAGAGAAGGGCAGGTGGCCCCCTGTGGGGTTGTGGCGAAAACTTCCCAGAGGAGATAATACCGGAGCTGGGTGACAAAGCCTCAGTAAGAGTGGGCTGGAGAAAGACAAAACACGGGATTATCTGACTTGGGAACAGCATGTGCAAAACTGTGTACACCTGGCACATTGTTGATTGGTATGGCTGTACAGGAAAGGGTGAGATGAGAAATCACCAGGAAGGGGGCTGGGGAGGGTGAAAGGGCCAGATCCGAGAGGGTCAGGTGAGTCATGGTCGGGGGTTTGAAATGTATCTTGGAGCAATCAGGAGCTGTTGAAGTGACACTCTCAGGTTTGTGTTTTAGAAAGTTAATTCTGGCTGCAGAGTGGAGAATGAATTGGAGTGGTGAAGACTGGCTCTTGTAGCACAGGGGAGAGAGGAGTTAGGTAATAGTTATGGGACTGGAGAGAGATTAGGAGAATAGAATGTTAGGAATTCATCACTGATTGAATGTAGGGGATGAAGAAAGAATGTAGCGATCAAGGTACCGTCTGGGAAAAGAAGACATTCCCACTGGGATATTTTTCAACAGCTTGTGGAGGTATACTTGACATGTAATAAACTGTACATATTTAAAGTGTCTAACTCGAGAAGTTTTGACATGTATATATCCATGAAACCGTCATCACAATCAAAATAAAGAATGGTTCTAATACCCCCAAAGATTTCTTGTGCCCCTTTGTAATTCCTCCCTCTCTAGTACCCCACTCCCCCAAGAAACCAGTGATCTGCTTTCTGTCCCTATAGATTACTTAAGACTTTTTAGGATTTTATCTGTGGGGTCATACAATATGTATCTTTTGGGTGTGGTGGCTTTACTTAGCATAATCATTTTGAGATTCATCTGTGTTGTGCGTACATACGTATAGTTCACTCCTTTTTTTGCTGAGTAGTAGTCCATGTTTTGACTATGTCGTGTTATGTTGATTCATTTACCTGTTGATGGATATTTGGATTATTTGCTGCTTTCTGGCTACTACAAACAAAGCTGCTCTGAATATTCGGATACTGTACACCTCTTTGTATGGACATATGCTTTTATTTCTCTTGGTTAAGTACCCGGAAGTGGAATGTCCAGTTCACATGGCAGGTGTATATTTTAACTTTTTAAGAAACAGTCAAACTATATTTCAAAGTGATTGAGCTGTTTTACATTCACCTCAGCAGTGTATGAAACTTCCAGTTGCCCCAACACTTGGTGTGGTCACTCTTTTTAATTTTAGGCATTCTGATGATGTGGAGTCCTCTCTCGTGGTTTTAATGTGCATTTCTATAATAACTAATAATTTCAAGCTTCATAGCATATGCTTATTTGCCCATGTGTATTTCATATATCTTGAAGTACTTATTAAATCTTTTGTCCATTTTTTGAAAAATGGGCTGTTTGTTTTCTTACTGGGTTTTGAGAGGTTTTATATATATTATATATTCTCATTACAAATTCTTTATCACATCTGTGATTTGCAAATATTTTCTCCCATTTTGCGGCTTGTCTTTTCATTTTCTTAACAGTGTCTTTTGAAAAGCAGAGTTCTTAATTTTGAAGTCTAATTTATCAGTTTGTAATTTTGATGATGTCTGTTTTATCAATTTATTCTTCAATGGATCATAGTTTTTGGTGTTGTATCTAAGAAATCATGTCTAGCCTGAGATCTCAAACATTTTCTCCTGTTTTTTTAAGAAGCTTTATTGTTTTTGGTTACATTAAATCCATGATACATTTTAAATTAAGTTAATCTCTAGCACCAGATATGGAAAAATGTTCATTTTTTTCATATGGTATCAATTGTTCCAGCACCATTTACTGAAAAGCCTATCCTTTCTCCATTGAATTGCCTTTGCACCTTTGATAGAAATCGATTTAGCGTGTGTATATGTGGGCCCATTTCTGAATGTTTTATTTTGTTCCATTGATCTCTGTCTATTTTAATGCCGGTACCACATAGTCTTGGTGACGATAGCTTTGTAATAAGTATTAAAGTCAGGTACTATAAGTCCTTCAACATTGTTCTTTTTAAAAGTTGTTTTGGTTATTCTAGGTCCATTACATTTCCATATTAATTTTACAATCATTTTGTCAATTTCAAAATAAAGCCCTGGTAGATTTTAATTGGAATTTCGTTGAATCTATACATCAATTTGGAGGAGAATTGGCATCTTAAATGTTGAGTCTTTGACTCATGGACACAGTTTATCTGTTCATTTATTTAGGTCTTCCTTAATTTCTCTCAGCAAGGTTTTATAGCTTTCAGTAGATAGGTCTTGCATATCTTTGTCAGATTATCTGTAGGTATTGCATATTTTTTGATGCTGTTGTAAATTGTATTGTCTTTTTAAATTTCAACTTCCAATTGTTTGTTGCTACTTATATATTTATGTATATTGATCATGTATCCTGCAATCTTGCTATACTACTTATTCTAATAGCTTTTTTGCAGATGCCATCAGATTTTCTGTGTCGGTGATCACGTTATCTGTAAATAAAGATGATTTTACTTCTTCCTTTCAGTGAGGATGCCTTTTATTTCTTTTTCTTGCTATAGTGCACTGGCTAAAACCTCCACTCAGTGTTGCAAAGGAGTGACGAGAGCAGACATCTTGCCTTGTTCCTAGTCTTAGGGAGCAGCATTCATTTTTTTTCATCATTAACTATGATGTATGATTAAATGTATATTTTTTATAGAAGCCCTGTATCAGGTTTAGGAAGTTCCATTCTATTCCTACTTTGCTGAGAGGTGTTGTTTTTCTGTTTTGTTTTTGTTTTTAAGTGAAGAATGGATGTTGTATTTTGTCAGTTGCTTTTTTCTGCAGCTGGTAAGATCACCATGTTTTTTTAAAGACTTAATGTGATGAATTACATTCATTGATTTTTTTTTTTCAAATGTTAAACTAACCTTGTATTCCTGACATAAACCTCACTTGCTCAAGACCTCTTATCCTTTTTATATTTTGTTGGATTCTCTTTGCTAAAATTTTAAGAATTTTTTGCATCTACGTTAATGATGGATATTGAGATAGTTTTCTTTCCTTGTATTGTCTTTTAAGTTTTGTTATCAAGATAATTCTGGCCTTATAAAATGAGTTGGGAGAGATTTCCTCCTCTTAGCTTTTCTGGAAGAGTTTGTGTAGAGTTGATATTATTTCTTCCTGAAATGTTTGGTGGAATTCATCAGTGAAACCATCTGGGCCTGGAGTTTTTTTGTAGGGGAGAGGGAGCAGTCAATTGATTTAATAATATTGGACTATTCAGATTATCTGTTTCTTCTGAGTGAGGTTTGATAGGTTGTGTATTTCAAAGAATTTGTACATGTTATCTAAGTTGCTCATAATATTCCCTCATCATTTTCATATCTACAGAATCTGTTGTAATTTAATCTCCCTCATTCCTAATATTGGTAATTTGTGTCTTTTCTATTTTCCTGATCATTCTGCCAGAAATTTATTAATTTTATTGATCTTCTGAAAGAACCAGCTCTTGGTTTCATTTATTTTCTCTATTGTTTTCTTTTCTTTTTTTGACTTATTTATTTCTGCTCTGAATTTATTATTTCCATTCTTCTGCTAACTTTGGGTTCCTTTTACTCTTCTCTTTGTAATTTCCTGAGGTAGAAATTAAGGTAATTTATTTGAGACTTCTTTTCTAATGTAGTCATTGGATGCTATAAATTTCTAAGTATTGCTTCAGTTGCATCCCACAACTTTTGCTATGTTTTTACTTTCATTCAGTCGAAGTACTTTCTAGTTTTTTTTAATGTCTTTTTTGATCCATGGGTTATATAGACTTATGTTATTCAGTTTCCAAATATTTGAGGACTTTCCACATATCCTTCTATTATTGATTTATAATTTAATTCCATTGGGGTTAAAGAATGTACTTTGTATGACTTGAATCCTTTTAACTTTTTGAGACTTGTTTTATGGCCCAGAACGTAATCTATCTTGGTAAATGTTCCACGTGCACTTGAAAAGAATGTGTATTCTGCTCTTGTTGGTAGAGTGCTTTTTACATCTC